AGCCGCTTGAGTCTGGTTTGGACCCTGCTTGTGTTGAATTTCAGCCAGCAAGTCTCCGGCATACGAGAGAATTTGAGATTTCTCCCTCCCCCGTTTCTTCTGTTTTTGTTCAGTGTAAACAGTTCCTGCCGTAGAAACATAGACAAATATAGCAGAGAATGCTTTTCTGGAAGAAGAATGCTCCCTAAGCATTTTTTAACCATTTTTGGGAAGAATTGATCTTTGTGTGTGTTTCAGACAGACTGAAGGAGAGGGAGGGGCCGTTGCTGTAAATTGAAGTGACATCATAAGTATTGCCCCCATTGATCCGCTTTTAGTCTCCAGCCAGGATAAAAGGAAATGGCACCAGGGAGGAAGCATGCTTCATTTAGGCACAGATCCCAGAGTGATAATGGGGTAATAATAGAACTCACGCCACTGTCCCTCAGAGGCTGCATTAGTCTCAGGCTCCTTCCTTGTCTGGGAGCCGCTCAGAGACTTCCTTCGAGGCTGCATCGCCAGCTGGGCCTGGAGGGAGGTGCCCTCCTGTGCGCTTTGAGGGGTGTGGACAGTGGGGCTCAGATGTTGTTGTGCACCCAGTTCCTTGTGTCGGGACCTGCCTGCACAAGGTCAGTGGTGAGATGGGTTGGTGACATTTTCTATAGGGAAGCGAGCTGGCCTTTTCGGATCCAGTCGCATGGGTGGTCCTGGGAGCAGGAGTGAGTGGCAGCCCCTGACAGCAGGAAGAGGCTCTGCAGGAGTCGGGTGTGCTTTTTTCTGCTGCTTGTGGACTGGGAGGGTGGGCTTGGAAAATTCCTATTTTCTTTCCAAGAGTCTGTAGAAACTTTAAAAGACACTCGGAGTTGTGTGGCTTGCCTCCGTTCTTAAGTTGCCTGGGAAAAATACCAGGTAGACTTTTCTTTTGCTTTGTAAATTTCTGGGTAGTTAGCAGCTATGGACTCCTCCACCTTCAGTGCAAGAATACAGACCACCGAATCCTTAGAAATGGCATTTGCTTTGCCTGACTCCTTTAATATTTTGGGGTTTTTTTTGTATTTGAATGCGCTTTACAGTGATGTGGAATTCTCTGTTTCAAGTACCCACATGACTTTGGCACCTCATAGCCTTACTTTGTCTAAGTGTTGAGGCAGATGCATTTTAAAAATACCAAACTGGTTTCCATGTGGAAAAAATAATAACTCCTTGTCTGTGCAAAGGAAAAGACTTTCTATTCCTGTCACTGTCGAACTGTGGCTGTGAGCACTATTAGACCCTCAGAAATAAAGGCAAGTTCTTTTTATAATGTTTGACGGAGCTGTTTTCTAAGGAGATAATGCTCTGAACCGTGCACTGTGTTTTTCTTAATCATTCTGTACTGTGACTAAAGCCATGTTCGTCTCTCGGAACTGCTGCACTAAAACACTGGGCTTAGAAGTCACGTGACATTTGATTTGATTTCTGTGTCGGAGGAGGGGAACGACCCACACATCTCCCGTTCCCACCGCACCATGCGAGCACATTGGAAGTGCATCTCTCAGTGGCTTTGCAAACTTTTGGTTTATTACATAGTATTTTTTTTTCATCCTGTGGAGTAAATGATTATTTTACAAAGAGAAATGGTCTCTATTAAAATGAGCTACTTACCACATTTTTGCTTTAATATCCTCTTCTAAGGTCTGTAATCTGTAAAAATTGTGTAATGTTTACTTGCTCATTTGTGAATGAAGGATACTTAGTTTTACTGTCTGAACTAAAACATTTGATCACTGATTTTTCTCCGGTTTTCTCATTGCTTAGAAATTACGTTTTTCCCTGGTGAATTAGAAGAGTTAGAGTTGAAAGGCAGGTGACTACAGGTTGTTAACTGAGTGAGACTCACACAAGCCCATAGTTGAGTGGGCCGGGCAACCCCGGGGCATTACGGTTATGGAGGGGCCCGTTCTCACGCTCGCGTGGGGTCCTGTGCCTTCTTCCACCTCTGAACAGGCCGGCTCTTGCCACAGAGCAGTCTGCGGCGCCTCTGTGCCCATGAGGTCTACCTGGCGCGCTGTGTGCGTTTAGAGCAAATTAAACTTATTAAAAACCTCCTCCGTTCCATCTCAGTGGTTTACCTTTAGTCAGGGGCTTAGCTGTAAGTATCTCCCATTGTGTAAAATCAGGAGAGGACAAACGCGTTCAGGGATCCTTTTGTGCAGTCTGTGTGCAGCTGCATGGACTTCTGCTTAGTGAGCGGTCGCAGGCACATGAAAGGGAGCTCCCAGATGTTTCCATGGGTTCGCGTGGCAGTGATTCTTCCGTTTTAATCGGGAATTGCGTTTGTTGATTAAACCCAGTTAGGTTAAGTTGGGGACTGAGCTCATCTTCCTCAGGCGCTTCTTTCCTCCGTGGGTCTCGTTTACCCCAAGTCCCAGTCGGAGTTCTAACAATAGGCCTCTTTGTGAATGTGGACACAGAACAGGGGCATGCTTTTCTTTCTGCTCTGTCTTCCCTGTAATTCTGCAAATGGACCAAGCTGGTTCCTGCTGTATTTAGTTAGTGAACCAGACCCCACCCTCAACCGCTGGGTGTTCTGCCCTTTCCCAGAACCCATCTTCTGTACCCAGTGGGCCTCAGCATTTGAGCTGTTGCTGCCCTGGGCCTGGCTGCACCCGTTTTGAGAATGCCTGTGGGGGCGCAGGGCTGGGTGGCCACTGACCCAGTCTGGGGCCCTGTCCTCCCCTCCCCCTCCCCCCTATTGAGGCAGGGGGGCTGCTGCTCCAGGGGTGCTCAGGCTAGCCGCCTCAGGTGGCGGTTGTGTGGACCATTCTTGGGAAAGGGATGAGTGGGGCAGGAAAAGACTTTAATGGGGGGTAAAGGGCAGGCTCTGTGAAGAGGCTGGAGGACAGCCGGGGAGTGACCTGAAGGGCGTGCTCAGGGCCAGGCTGGATGAACTCCCCCCCCCCGCCCCAGGACCTCAGGGATGAAGATTCAGAGAGGGAGGCTGCAGGGCAAGATAGATAGGAAGGAGGGCCAGGCAGCCTGGGTGCTGGCTGAGCTGCTGAGCCTGGGGTAGAGCACCCTGAGTACCCACCAGCTGAGGGCTCATGCTGTGACCAGGTGGGGAGAATCCAGAGGCTGGTGGCTCTGGATTTGTCCTGTTTTGTAAAACAGCAGATCTCTCTTAATGTTGTAAAAGTGGGCTCATGTTCTAAAACTATAGAAAATGGAAAACTGGCGTTTTTGTTTCTGGTTGTTATGTAGTGACTAGAGGCCCGGTGCACGAAATTTGTGCACAGGTAGGGTCCCTGGGCCTGGCCAGTGATCAGGGCTGATTGGGGCCTTCCTTCATTCTGCGCCGCCCTCTGGTGGTCAGTGCATGTCACAGCTAGCAGTCGAACTCCCGAGGGGACACTTTACATATTAGCCTTTTATGTATATAAGATTATCTTTAACCCTTTGCGGTCCAATGTTATTTTTGGAATTCAAACAGTCTTGTCCAGATTAATTGACGGGATTGAATGTTGAACTTTTTAATGTTCTTATTGCTCAACGTTGGACCTGCTCCTAGCGCCTGGTCTGTCAAGTCAGCCTTGAGGTTGGACCGAAAAGGGTTAAAGCATCTTATAGGCATGTGACTCCTCTGGAAGGAAATTGTCAGTTGTCTCCAAGCCCCTGGAGTCTCCGTGTTGGTTGTAACCCTCTGCGTTGGCTGAAGGCACCTGGTTTCTCCTGTCAGCCTGAGGAGATCCACAGGATCTTAGGTGCATGGAGCGATGTTATGAAATAAAAATGCCCAAGAACCCAGGGATGTGTGCCTGTGGGCAAGTGGGGTTATAGTAGAACTTAGGAGGGTGAGGTGTGGACGTACAAAAAAATGCTGCTTTGTGGAATTACGTGGTGAGCATTGTGCCTGCGATTCAACTGGTTTCCCCACGTGCATTCTGGGAAAGAGGGGCAGGCAGAGTGTGCACTTGGGGACAGAAAGGTAAAGAGAGGTAGGGAGAGATGCCAATAATGCTCAAAATTTCTTAAGAATAACAGAAAGTAGGGATTAAAATCCAGGTGGTCTTATGAATGTTCTGTTGGCCTACCATGGATTTGCAGACTTAGAAGCTTGGGTTCGTTGACAGATGCTCGGGGCATAAGTCGGGAAGGAGTAAGGCTGAATGGCAAGAGTAGTGGCATTAATAGTAACAATTTAAAACCTTGATTTTAGAATATTTTTCAGCTCCTACAAGATGTATTTTAAATGCATTCTTTCCTCCTTTCAGAGTTTGTGAGAGCTCTCTGCTCTAGGGCGGAACTAGGCATTGCAGCACAATAATGACTAAGACAGATACTCGACCTTCTTGGATTTACAATGTTTGTTCATAAACTATTCATTACTTTTGTACCATATAAAAACGCCCTCCTCTCTTTGCCCTTTACTATGTAACACCAATTTTTACCTACCCTGTGTGAAAACTTAGGAATATGGGTGACTGTGTGTGTGATCATATTTACAACATTTTAAAAAATTTTAATGGAATAATAAACATGATTTTTATAAGGGAGTGTTTGCGAGACATGCTCTCCATTTCTTGGTGCACGTTGGCAAGGTTCCAGTGGTGAGGAAGAAAATCTGAAAGCAGCTTACTTCTGTTAAACTTCATGTCTAAGATCAGGTGGTTCCCTGAGTCTTAGTCTAGGTTAAATGACATTTTGACATATGTTTGCCATAAAGAAAGGGATCTAATCAACGGTGAGGATGTTTTATGAAGTTAAATATCGTTTTTGTCATTTCACAGTGTCTGTATATTAAATCATCACATTGTACACCTTAAAACACACACAACGTAAAAAAAAAAAAAGTAAACACAGTTTTGCTCTGTTCTGAGGGTACAAGGTAAGTCCTGAGGGCCGGCCAGAGTCCGTCTTCAGTCTTTCGTGCCTCCGACACTTCCTGAATACCTGGCCGCCCTGGGCTTGCGTCTTCTAAATGTTTGTGTTTAATTCCTTGTAAGTTGAATGGCATTTTCACTGGCTCTTTGCTGTGCCCTCAGCTCCTTCCGGACCAGCTGGTCTTGCTTCTGGAGCATCTGTTGGAGCAGGAGACCCTGAACCCCAGAACTCTGCGAAGCCTCGAGAGGACATACCGCCTCTCCCAGCAGGACGCAGAGGTAACCGGGGCTGCCCCAGCGTGCACAGCGGACCCTCGTGTGTGGACAGTGCGGTCCCGGAGCCTCCCCGACCGTGGGCCTGCACTGTGATTGCCATCAGCACCCCCCTCCTCCCGCTGTGTGCCTGTGAGTGAAGAACAAGCCCTTGCAACCAGGTGGAAGCTGCTCCCTGGTCGGGCTCCCTCCATAAGGGGCCCCAGAACCTGCTTATTACCGGGTCTCCTCTCTTTTTAAACCATAAGGACGGACACAGGTCCCCAAAGGAGTGTGAGCAGGCAGGGTGGGACGCTCCTGAGTTACAGACTGGACTGGGGCGGGTCAGCTTTGCAGGCTGGTGGCGCCGTGCTGCTGCTCGTGGGGAAACGCCTCGGCCTGGGGTGCCAGAGCTGCACGTTGCCTTCAGCCAGGACAGGGAGGGAGCATGTGTAAGGGAAATGCAAACGAAATCTAACAGCTGTGGGTTGAAAAGCAAAATTGGATGCTTGTGGGAAAGAAATATGATGTGGTTCTTAATATCTTTTAGCTTAATGTAAAGAATGCACTGTGAATCCTAAGATGAGTGCCAAGGGTTTTTATGTCTATAAAATAATTATTTATCGTATTTAGTCATCTGAAGTAAAATACAAGTGCACGGCCATAAAGAGAGAAGTTCTTTTATGTAAAACTACTAAAATGCAAATAAGTTTGGTTTGTGTTCAGGTGAAAATAACTGAGCATCTAAAAACTGCAGTTTTACAGGGTACCCATCAGGCACATGTGGCTGTTGAGCCTGTGGCTGTGGCTGTGGGTGTGAAAGGCCCAGAGAATAATACTGAAGACGTAGTGTGAAAAAAAGCAAAATACCCTACTAATAATTTCTTCTTACTGGTTAAACTGTCAAAATGATATTTTGGGTTAAATAAAATCCTATTAAATTTAATCTCACAATCATTAAAATGGGGTAAATGGAGAAAAGATACCTTATTATTAGATTAAAAGGTAAGATGGACATTGTTTTACCTTTTTTGTAATCCTCACCTGGGGGCCTGTTTTCATTGATTTTTTTAGAGAAGGAGGCAGGGAGGGGAGGAGAGAGAGAGAGAGAGAAATATCAATCTGTTGCCTCCTGTTCACACCCCAATCAGGGCTTGAACCCGAAACCTAGACATGTGCCCTGACTGGGAATCGAACCCACAGCCTTTTGGTGTATGGGACGACGCTCGAACCAGCTGAGTCACCTGACCAGGACCATTGTTTTACATTTTAAAGCTCCACAAATTCAGGAGTTAATTGAAAACCTTCAGAGAAGACACATGTAGCTTCAGAAGACACAGATCAGATGAGCTGTTTACTTCAGCTCTTACATGTTTGTTCATAGGTGTTTCCACAGGCCAGACCGTTATTTTTAATTAGTGTTTAAAGATGTTTCTATATACAGACATGAGGCTGAGTTTTAATCAGAGCTGAATACCGCTGAAATGCCAGGCCCCAATGACGGGCAGTGGACAGACCAAGGCGGGAGGATCAAAGCAGGCCCCGGGCACCTGTCACAGCCCAGAAGCCATGAGGTGGTAGACACTGTTGGCTCCCCTTCCTTTTGGCATAAAACACATCGTGTTCTTAACTTACAGCTCAGCTTAGTTGTTTATAACCTCCCAAACCTTTAGAAAGCGGAATAGGTTTTCTTTGGTTGCTTGTTTTACAACTCACAGACTACACCATGACGCCTAAGCCAGGGCGGCCTGGACCCTGGGGGCAGGAGACCAGGGCCTGGGGATGGCTTTGCTCGGCGTGCATAGCTAGGGTGGCTCCATGCAGTTCCCCAGTGCTGCGCCAGGCACTAGGGACTTAGCAGTGGGCACCACCGCCGAGGGTCACCCTGAGGCGGTGTACGTTCTTCTGGAGAGACAGTGCATAAGTAAATGAACACAGCGCTTTCAGGTACGAGTTACACTGGAGGCATACAGGTGGTGCTGGGCTGGTTGTCTGTAGATGGAGTACTCAGGAAAGGCCACGCAGAGTAGTGGCATTCAGGCCAGGACCCAAGGGGCAGGGGTAACTTCCATCCAGAGGCAGCAGCAAGTGCCACGTGTGAGCTGGCATGTGCCAGGATGGGGGTCAGCAGGCTTTGTCTGTGAAGGAACAGACAGGTAATATTTCAGGCCACGTGGTTTCTGTCCCCCCGTTCACCTGTGCCGTGGTAGCATGGAAGCTGCCAGAGAGAGACACGCAGACAGACAGCCGTGCCTGTGCGTCAGGAAAACATTATGGACCTGCAGCTTGGATTTCGTGTAATTACCACGTCTCCAGATAATTCGTTTTGTTTTTGTCGTTCCTTCTTTGAACTGTTTTAAAACATATACAACACTCCTAGCTGGGGGCGGGGGGGTTGATTGGGTCTGCCCCATCTGGAGTTTGTTGACCCCTACATTGGGCTGGGCAGGGGCCAGACCAAGGGGGCCTGGAGGCTTGTGCCCCTTTGGGCTTTCATTGTCACAGTGTGCCTCCTTCCCCAGCTCTCTCGTCCTGGCACGTGTGTAGTTAGTTGCACTGATAGTCCATCTCACCGGCATTTCCTTGAAATGTCACTCAGAAGCAGAAAAGCAACAGGATTTTGGGCAAACAGTTTTCTAGGAACATTATTGGTTACGTGTGACTTATTGTGACACTGATTCGCAAGAATTTAGTAGAATAACATCTGCCTTTATTCTAAGTGACAGAACATTTCATGGAAGAAAGGATGACTTTTTGGTGGGAAACGTCTTGAGGATTCTGACTTTATTCTCGGTGCTTCTCCTGGGCCTGAACAGTAAGGACAGCCTCTCAGTCATTGTCAGGGCTCTCAAATGTGTAGTCAATAGCAAGCCTTTGAGAGCTGGCGGAGACCCTGGAGTGCGGCAGGCTGTGGGGCGCCCGGGGGGACGTGCTCGCGCCCCTGGGACCTTAGTGCTGGATTGGGTGTCGGTGTGAAACCCAGCACAGCAGGGTGTGCGCGTGACCAGCGGGTGTGACCCCGTATTTCCTGGAGGCACAGGAAGGCCTCCTTACTCCTTCGTTTTTCCTCACTCTCCTCACTCCTGGCGTTTTCCCTGAGCACATCCCCCTGGGAAGTCACTTTCCGAGGGGTGAGCCTCTTATTTCACGTGTCCTTGAAGCTGAGTCTCACTGCTCATTCCCAATCGCCCCGTCGCTGCAGGGCTCCTGTTGGCAGGGGCACGCTCTCCACACGTCGCCCAGCCTCGCTCGCGGGAGGGAGGAGCCTGTGCATGCACAGACCAGGGCCCTCCGTTCAGTAGCTGCTTCAGCTGCTTGTCTACCTCCCCCCCACCCCATCCCTTCCCTCCTCCTTCCTTCTTCCTTCTCTGTGTGTGGATGCGTGCAAGCCCACTGGGAAGTTTATTTTTAATATTCTCTTTATGTGGCTCAATATTTGTGTTACTTGTGCTGCTCTGCTCTGTGCTTGGTTGTGTTCACAGGATGTCTGGTCTGGTACCAGAGTTTCTGAGCATGATGCCTGGTCTGTGTTGCCCGCCAGCTTTTTTCACGTCTGAGGTGGTAGGTTACAGGGCCTGTCCTCCTTGGGATGTGAGTCCCCAGGTCTGCTCTGGGGAAGGGATACCACATGTTCGGAGTCTTAAAGGAGAAGTGCACAAGGACGAACAGAGTAAAGCATCCATCCTAAGCTACCCCAGCCTTGTGGCCACTCCACCTCTGGAAAGCGGGGCTCTCTGCTGGGAATGTTTGGGTTCCAGGACCTGGAGAGGAACACTAGCTTTGGGTCAGCCACCGCTCACATCCTGAGTCCGACACGACCAGCCAGATGCCGGCTCTAACCAGGACAGAAAATGAGCTGAAGGGAAGCTTAGTTCATAGAAATATGTGTCTCCTGTTTTTTAGCATATTGGCTCAACTAGAGCCATAAAAGTCTAAAAATATATTGGACATGGATTCTTGGAACAAAAGACATTTTCTAAGATCCCATTTTAAGTCATGAATTTCTGCATCTGTAGCAGGTCTCCAAGGCTGTAAAAGAGCCGCCCCCTGGTAGTGAGCGAAGATCCATGGAATGTGGTTCTGTGACCTTCTTTCCCTGAGCGCATGGCTGACCTTGAATCAACTTTACTTGTACAGGCTGCAGTTAGGCACTTCAAAATTGGGGACTCACCTCAAGTTAATTATTTGAAAGTTCAGAAACCGCACTCATCACCTTAACTGTCGTGGAGTGAGTGGGGGACATTGCTCAGGAAGGCTCCCCGGCAGCATGCCCAGCGCTGATGTTGCGACGGGTGGACTGTCCTCTCACTGTGTTTGGGAAACACTGCTGGTTGGAAGGAAGAAGCCGCCCAGGTCAGGTTGGAGTGCAGAGGAGAGGACTGTGTCCCTGTCGGGGCCCCTGTCGTTGGCCCCATGTGAGGAGAAGACGGATACCTGCTCATGTGCGTGTGAGCAACTCTTCATGTTTGATCTCCTGGAATGCCCAGGCATTGACTTCACAACAAATGGGACTTGGGCCCCAGATCCCAACACATTGCCTCCCTCCTGGCCTGTTTTCCTCATCTGCACAGCAGAGCCTAGACAAGGCTGTGGGCTCCTGGCTTCTTGACTGCAGCCAGTGGCAAAGAATGTTTCATGACACTGTCTTTACTCTTACATTTTCTATTATTTCCTGTTTCGTTTACTTAAAAAAAAAAAAAAAGGTGCATTGTGATGTAGTAAATTGAGTTTAACCCAGCCGTGGGCAAACTACGGCCCGTGGGCCCATTCGGCTGTTCTATCCAGCCCTCGGAGCCGAAAGAGGAGAGGGCTCTCTTGCTCTCCCCCTCTCCGCTCCTTCACCAGCAGCAGTGTTAACATGGCAACGTCGGGAAACACGGCCGCAGCTCCTTCTTCTGAGTCCAGTTTAAAAACCCATTGTGGCCCTCCAGTCAAAAAGTTTGCCCACCCCTGCAATAACCCCTTCACAGGATTGTCGTGAGAAAAGTTGGTGAGCATTCAAGGTCATGTGACTTCTGTTGATGAGA